CTGCCGCCGCTCCCGGTCCAGATGGAGAGCCCCTATGAGATGAGACCTGGGTTCAAGTCCCGGCTGTGACAGCCTCTCGCTGTGGGGCTCGGGGAAGCTGCACCGCTGGGCCTCAGGCTCCCCATCTGTGAGACGGGAGTGACGCCGTTCCTGTGGGGGTGCTGGAGAGAACTGAGCGCGGCGAGGGACGCGCCCACTGCAGACTGCATGGGCGATGCCTGCGCACGGGCGATGCCCACAGGCCCCGGGCCACTGTTTGGGCCAGCGCTGAGACCGGCCTACTGGCCGTGAGCCCGATTCCTAACCTTTGCCTCCACTGCCCTCAGACCTCAAGTCCAGGCTGGCGGTTACCAGGTGGCCAGGGCTCCCAAACTCATTGCGGGACGGAACGGCTTTGGCCCTAGCCAGGGAGCCGTGAGGGGAGGCCCGCACACCATTCATCACCTCGACGAGGCGCTCAGCCCACATCTGTTCTCACTGAACAATAAGCCAGGGGCATCTGGTTTTTGTCCACTTGAAGCTTGTCTAGTGTTTCTTTTTTTTTTTTTCCCCTTTTGCAAAATTCAAAGGGACTGGAGTGGCTGGGGGCAGAACCGAGGTCAGCGAAGCCGTCGCGTGGTGAGCGTGATCCTTCCCAGGCCTGTGGAGGGGTGCAGAGCTGGCTCCCAGGGCCGAGGGGCTGCTTTCCCAGCCACTCCTCCAGGCCACCTGGGTTTTCTCCTGCAGCCGGCAGTCTGTGCCTGAGCGGCCCCCTCGCTCTCCTCGCGGCTAGGAAGTGGGGAGCCCCTTCACAGCTGATGCCCACGCCCATCTCCACTGGGTGCCTCCTGTGTGCCTCCTCCCAAAAGAGCCCCTGGTCGGTTTACGCCAGAGTATCTGTCCTGCAAGCTGCCTCCAGTTCTCTCTGGCACAAGTCTGGGACAAACACAGGAGTGAGGGAAACACGAAGGTAGCCCTTCAAGGGCAGGTGTCCCTAGTGCTAATCAGACAAACCGATGGTGCCTTTCCTTTGAACTTGACCTTCGGACGGCAGAGTGTAGGAAAAGGGGAAAACCTGACACATTAGTCTGTGTGCATGTGTGTGCAGGTGTGAGGGCTGCGATGGTGGGTGCTGCCCTGCACAGGGGCTGCACCTGCCGGGGGGGTGGCTCCACCCCAAGCCTTCACCATTGTAAGAGTTGTAGTCAGCACCGGCAGGTGCGTCTCCTTGACCCTGACCCTTACTGGCCTGTCTTGCAGTGTCTCCCCACACTGTCCTTCAGATGGGGCCAGGCAGTTCCTGCAAACCAGGCTCTGGCACCTTCCCACCGCGATGAGCTGCCCCATAAGGCCCAGCTCAAGTTCCACCCCACAGGAGCCCCCAAAGCCCAGCCACGACTATGCAGCCACACAGCACTCGGCCGCACACTGCCTCGTCTCCCTGTGAGACTCTCTCCTGGAGCCAGGGGGGTGGGCTCCTGGCTCTGCCACTCACTAAGTGACCCAGGTGGGCCACCCTCTGGGGCTAGCCGAAGCACTGGGAGATGAGGACGGCCAGCTTTCCCTCTAGGGCTGAGGCGAAGATCAAATAAACTCCCACTTGAAAGCACCTGGCCTGAGTCTTAACATGTAGGAGTTGCTCAAAAAATGCTAGTTTCTGCTCCTGGGCCTGTAACCAGAGAGCACTCCTGCCTCCCCCCATCAGAGCCACGTGTCCTCCTCAAAGTGCCCTCCCAGCCTTTCATGTGGGAGAACCTTCCCTGGAGGGGGCAGCGAAGGTGCTGGTAACTACGGCCAGACCCTGGGTGGTGGGGGGCAGTTGGCACTGAGCTCGGCGGGGCGCTGGGCCAGGAGTGCTGAGAGTGGGGTGTGACTCAGGCACTGGGACTACACCCCTGAGAAATGGACCTGGTCCCACAAGACTCCAAGGACCTGACAGACCCTTACTTCCCTAGAGGCCCCAGTGGACTTTAAGTCTCAACCCTCCAGAGCCAAGATGGTCCTGGGGACCTACTGCCCCACTGCTCACTGGCAGACTGCGGCTGAGAGCCAGATGGCCCCACTGCAGGACTCGCTCCTGCTCTGGCCAGCCGCTGGTGTGTGAGCCTCGGCTGTGGCATGGGGAAGGCAGTGTCTGGGGACCCCAGCCTAGCTGTTCTGGCCTGGGCTAACATGTACACTGTCCAATGTGGCGACATCTACCTGGGTCCTCTGGGCTGGTCGGGGTTGGGGACTGAGGTCTGCAATTACAAGGCACGTGGGCCTGGGTGGGGCTGCACACCTTGACCCTGGGAGCTTCAAGCAGAGGCTCCCAGGTATTGCTGAGATCTGGAGCCACTGACGGCAGCATCACCCCATTGCTGAGTGCCCAAAGCAGCCTCATTTCTCTGTGCCCTGAGACCAGAGTTCTCTCCCTGCAGCTGGTGTCCAGATCAGGCCCAGGGAGGAGGAATGGGGGGTGTCTGGGTCTTCTCTGGGTTTCAGCCCAACACCCGCCGGCTCAGGGGCCAAGAACGAGCTGGGGCTACAGGGCAAATGTGCTTCCACAGCTGCCTGGGGAGGCACATCCAGAATCGCACAGGCAGGAGAGGGGAAGCGAGGCTTGAGTCTGGGCGCCAGAACCTGGCGGGGGCGGGGGTGTGTGTGAGGCAAAACCTTGGGTTTTATCTCAGGGACGAGGAGTAAGAACTTCCCTTCCAACCTGTGGGCCTTCGAGTCCTCTTCACAGTACTTGCCTCTAGACGGGGGCTTCTGGGCTGTGTCCGTGGCTTTCCCTCTCCACGTGGAGAACGAGGGGGACAAAACCTCCCACGGCTCAACCCGTTAGAGTTGACCCAGCACCTTCTCCAGCATGAACCTCAACAGGCCTTAACAGCAACCCCACAAGGGGGCGCCCATCGGGGCACCTTCGCAGGCGGGAAACTGAGGCTCTGAGACATGAAGTAGCCTGCTGGTCCAGGCAGGACTGACTACCTGATGTGCAGGGCCCAGTGCAAAATGAATATGAACAGTGCTTGTTCAAAAGTTGTTAAGCACTTCAAGACATGTCTATGGTCTAGCCATGGTGCAGTGTGCTGCTCAGACACTGCTCTGCAGGCGGGGCCCACACGGGAGGCCAGGTTCGAGTCCTGGCCCACCTAAAGGCCAAGCATGCATGCACGTGCCTGTAGGCCTAGCTGGGGGACGGAGGCCCAGGAGGATCATGGCAGAACAAGACTGGCTTACCAAGAAAAAAAAAAAAAGAAGAAGAAGAAAAGAATTTCCAAGACAGAGAATGGCAGAGTATTAAACGGATCCTGGAGGGGCCCATCTGTGAACCTGGGATGGTGAGACGCCAGGCTGAGAACTGAGTGCCTGTTAGTGCAGGGCCCAGGCCCAGGTCTAGCAGCTCTGACAGGGGGTCCTCAGGGTGCGTGGGTATCTGCACCACACTGCCCAGGCTTCTTGTCTAGCTGGTGGGAGAACTGTCTCATCCCTGGGGCTGGAGGGGAAGAGGGAGAAGGTTGGCACAGGGCTGTCTGGGGCTGTCAGGTGTGAGGCCAGGTAAAAGGCCCAGCCTTTGCTCCTTCCCCAGGGAAGTTCCTGGAATTCCCTGGGGAGGTCCTGCAGGTGCTTCACTGGACCCCTGTCTGGCTGGGTGCTGACAGAAGGAAGGAGAGCAGAGGCCCAAGAGGATGCCTGCTGGCACTGCCCTAGGTTTGGCATGAGGTTGGGACAGTCTCAGTCACGGGATAGTGAGACAAACATCAGGCAGAACAGGGTCCACCTGCCACTGTAGGAGTGTGGGCAGGCCCCCTTGGCCTCCCGGAGCCTGCTCCTGATATGCGGTCTGGAGAAGAGTACCGGCCAGTGCTGAGGCGGCAGACACAGGTCAGGGCG